TTTAATAGTTTATTGTGGTACATTAACATAATGGAAAATTATTATGACATAAGTAATGACAACTATGAAGCATCAGAAAAACTACATGGACTGATTCAGAGTGAAGAAAACAGAACTTTGAAAACAATATACACAATGACTGACGTAAAGAAAAAAAAAACAGAAGCAACTGAACACTATAATTATAATGATCAAGCTTAACTGTGGAGTAGTGCTGAGAAAATGCATTTTGCTCCTCTTTGCAGTGGTAACAGGACAGTAAGTGTGTTACATATACGATCAGACATAGTTTATGTGTTGGTCAGATTTGCTGAACTGCCTTTTTTTCCCCTCTTTTTTAATCTTTGTAACAGGAAATGACTTATTGAATAAGGGAGGAAGAATATTAAATATGAGTATTATGTAAACATAATCAATAAAAATAAGATAATAAATTCACTGGACATAGAAAGTTGATCAGATATTCCTTTTCTTGAAACTAGTATTAGTACTGCTGTATTTCACATTGTGATATAAGCATCTTAGATTGCCTTTATGAATGTGATTTTAATAGGTTTAGAATACACTAACAATACTGGTCATTTTTTTCAAATTCTTAGGACTCGTTCCCTATCTTTGTTTTATTGATTTTTAGATTCTTAACAGATAACCTTGTTTCCCACTTTATTGAAGAATAAGACCTGAATTCTTTCAGCTAGTCTCCTAAACTCTCAGTGACATCAGTTATTCTTTTATCCATCTTTCTAGTTTCAGAAAAAGCACTACCGCATCTTCTCAAAGGTATGCTTCTATCTGAATCACTCATCCCATTCCCTGTGACCTTGTTCCATGAAACATTTTCTCTCTGTCTCTCATGTATCTTATTCTTTCCTTCTCAACTATTTCTTTTCTCTCAGCCTATATATATGTATACAGATTTCCCCATTCTGGGAGTAAGGGAGGGGACTTCTCTTGACCTACTTAACAGCTCATGCTATTATTGTATTCTCCTTTAACTTCCTAGAAAGTACCCACACTTTGTCAGCATCCACTCCATCCTCACCCCTTTGCAGTCTGTCTTTATTTTCCACAGTGTTCCTCAAACTGCTATCAGTAAGGGCACTAATAATTTTGTTTCCAAATCCTGTGGCCTTTGTTCTCACTTTATCCTACATAATATTCTTCTCTTGTAGTAGCTTCTATGATTCTGTACTCTCATAGTTCTCCTAACTCCTCAGTCACTCCTGCTTTCTTTGCTGACTTTTCATCCTTCTGCCCCCTTGTATGTGTATATCTTCCGAAATTCTGTTCTTGAACCTCTTTTCTTCTTTGATGTTTTTATCTACTCTCATGGCTTTAATAATACTAGTGAATACATCTCAGCCTCATTCTCTGCCCTGAGTTCTAGCCCAGATGTCCAGCGGCTTGCTGGATAGTTCATCAAACCTATTATGAACTAACCACCTAGAGTCGTAACTTAAGTAATCTTTGACCCTTTTGTCTCCTATATCCCTTCATGCCCTTTCAGTTACCAACTCATATCAAATTTACATTGAAAATATTTCTTCTATCTATTGTCCTTATATTTCTGCTGCCACCTTGCTATTCCTGGCCCCCATCTCTTCTTGCTAAATATGTTGTTAGAGCCTTCTAATTTGTCCAGTCTAGTCCCTCAGTTTATCTGTCATACATCTGTCTGAGTAATCTTCCTAAGTTACCATTCTGATGAAGTTGTTCCTGTGCTCAGGAACTTTTATGTCGTTTGCTGTTGCCTACTTAATATAATTCCTTCATCCTGGCATCCAAGACCCACTATCTCACATTACTTCCATTCACATACTTTTCACTATTTATCCCTATTTATTGTTCTCCCTTCTCCCATCTCTGCACCTTTGCTCCCAGCAATCCCTGTAACTGGAATGAACAGTTTCCTGCATCTCTGCCCCTCTTCAGTCTCCACCTGTTGAAGTTCCTATCTTTCTATAAAGCCCAACTCAAGTGCCACCATCTCTAGAAATGCTTCCTTGATTCCCTTCTACTTAGCATTTGAAAGTGTCTTCTCTCACTTCAAATTATTTTACATACTTTCTTTTTGTATTATAGTTATTTGTATGCACATTTTCTCTCTCCTTACAGTTACGTTGTAAGTTTATCTCTAATGCTTTGCAAGTAGTACACACTTAATATGTGTTGAATTATGGCATTCTAATATCTAAAGAATAAGATCATTGTAAATTTACAGGTGATTCTGTCACTTTTTGAAGTAATTAGGATATCTGTATGTATCCCATAAAGGTTTCTCTTTTTGTATTAAATTCTAACTTGAGTGAGATACTTTGGGCCCCACCTACAATTTTTCAGTTTTAGGAAAGGAAGCACATTGTGCCATCACTGTGGATTTGAACTAAATAAGAGAGAAATGAAGTAGTTAACTTCTCTGCACCACCATGTTTTGTATGTTATCTTGTTTCTCTTTTAAAGAACCATTATATTATGACCTTGAAGTAACTGTGTTTTTCATAGTAAATACTGTAGTTCCTTTTGGAAAGATGGGGAAAATGGGGAATCTACTTCTATAAAGGGCTTTAACATACCATGAAGAAGAAATATCACTACGTAAGTATAAGGCATTGTCCAGAAGTGTATCATCTTTTTTTAAAAACTTAACCTAATTTATTTTGTTACATTTTAAGTTCCAACCTGTCTTTTTAAAATATATCATAAATATTAAATGTAATCTGCTTATTTATTATATAAACACTGAACTTCATGTTGTGATCTAAAGAGGTAGAATCTTGTGTTCTGCATCTCTTTCAAAATGTTTATTCAGGTGTTCTGGAAACTTGTTGACTGCATGAGAATAAGCTTAGAGATTAGTAGTTTCATTGAAACTGAAGGGTGAGTTTAAAATATTTAAAGACTTAAGTATGCAACTTTTTGATACACTGAAAAATTAGGATTTCATGCATCTAACATATTAATCCTGTAAATTTATTGCCAATAATCAATGGCTAATTACAGTAATTAATTATATTCAATCTGACTTCTTCCTGTGATTTAAATAGAAGGTTGTTTTCATTCCAGCCATATTTTTCCAGGAAATTTTAGAGGATTGAATATTAATTTCCTTTTACATAGTTTCTTATTTCTTTAGTTTCCTTTTTTTGTTGTTGTTCAGTCATTTTTCAGTCATTTCTGATTCTTTGTGACTCCATTTACTTTGCCAGACAGTTTTCCTTAGGCCATATGTTTAGATGAAAATTTGAATTGATTTAACTGTAATCTTTAATTTTAAATGTTATTTTTCAATCATAACCAAAAATGATCATCTCTTAACTAGGTTTGGTTTTGGTTGAATGAATGAGTGAAAAAATATTTATTGAACACTTAACTATGTGCAAATACTGGGTACAAATACAGAAATAATTGCTGCCCTCAAGGAGCTTACATTCTAACAGAGAAAAGCAAATAATGGACAAGGATGAAGTGTTTTGATTTGAGAAAGTCATAGGAGGGTGAATTCAGGGAGCCATAGGAGATGTGACTGACATGTCTTTTCCCTTAACAAGTGGCACTATTCATTTGCTTATGGTTCCAGTGCTGGAAGGGGATTGAAGAAAAGGGATCCATTTGCATGGCAGTAGAGTAGATGGCAAAATAACCAGAATGAAAATATACACTAGATATATATTGAGCCATGTAACCTACATGTAGCATACTCAATGAACAGAACAGTGTGGACCCTCGGTCAGGAGTTCCAGAGCATAGACCAAAGGGCATGGTCTCTAGTGATCTAGAGTTTTCAGCAGCAGGGCAAATGGCAGAGTCCAGTGGTCTGGAAAGTTACATTAGAAGGCAGGGTGAATGGCAAGAAGATGGCTAAGGTGGAAGGTAAAACATGTCTGCTTTAGATAAAATATCATGGACCATGTGACATACTCACCAACCTACATAGATCCTGGGTGGAATTCCAGAACTGACCATATTTTTTGTTTTTTGATCCTTTGTATTTATGATACTACCCAGGTGGTTGATAGTGTATGAATTTAATGTGAAATATATACATATATATACACACATAGATATATATATGCACATATGTATTTAATGCCACAAAATTACAATTTAAAAATTCATTATGGAATCAAAACCTTGATCTATTCATAAGTTTATTTATAAAGTGACAAATTGGTAATTGAGTCCAGTTTACTTTAGTGTGAAAATTTCTGTTTAAATTACTTTTGAAAACAGCCTTAGAATGGATTTACAACTATTATATATTTAAATATATCCCAAGTAGAGTACATTTTAGAAATAGGTTGCTTTGTTCTTTTGTCTTTTTCTAAAATAAATTGACTTAGCTTTTATCTTAAAGAACTGCTATTAAAAGTCAGAAAACAGAATAATAGAAAGTTAACTACTTGCATTTGTCATTAGTAGAAAAAAACAGTACAACCTTTTCTTCTCTTTTACTAAGTTCTCTAATGTAAATGGCTTATTACAATCTTTTTAATACAACTAGTTATTAGAAACAGTTTGTTTTCAAATACATTCTTTGAATCAGTCTCTAAGCCTAAAATCCAGCTGATAGGAGTACACATTGCTTGGATAATTAAAACACAAAGGTCTTGGAAATTGTTCAAAGTCCACATTGTAGAAGCGTAAGATTTTGGTATTTATGTAGTGGTATTCCACTGGCAAATCTTTTTGAGAGAAATTAATCTGTTTTCTGTACACATTCAAGGCTATAATCATAGATAAGGAGAGACAGATCGTTTCTTAGAATAATCCGTAAATGTATCAGACCAGTGCAGTATGAAACGAAATGTCTTAAAAAATGTGTCTCACATGCAAGTTATAAAGTGAATTTTCAAACATTTTATTTCCCACTACCCAAGTCAAATTGGGATGGCTGAAAAACAGGTTACTACACTCCCTTAATTTAAAACCATCAAACAATCTAATTACTATTGTTTGTGAGAAATATATACTACCTTTTATTTATTTTCTTAAACTTTCAGAGGTCTGTAGAGATGATATTCTGTGGATAGCTATGGCAGGGACTCATCAAATCTGGGCACTTATGTTGGATGATGGGAGACTACCAAAAAAAAGGTAAGCTACATAGTGTCTCATTAGATGGTTCAAAAATCTTCTCACGTAAAACCCTGTGACAGTATCAGAATATGATACCTGATACATAATAGGCACTGTGTTTGATGAATGAATGACAGAATGTTTAATCACCAGGAAGAGCATAAGACTGCTGTAAGGATTTTATCTATTGGGAAAGTTATTTAATGTACTACTTAGCTTCCATTGCATTTTAATTGAAGTTGTCCATAGTAAAATAATAGGGTAATTGCCCTTGTTGCATACAAAATCTACTTAATTATCAATGAAAAAAAATATAAATAATAGAAAGTATGAGATTATTAGTTCAGCACCTACTATATACAAATGCAGCCTTTATGCTAAACATTGATAAAGTAAAAAAGCAAATCAGTTAGTCAGCAGGCAGTTATTAAGCTCTTACTGTGTGCCAGGTACTGTGCTAAGTGCTGGAGTACAAAGAAAGGCCAAAAACCAAAAAACCAATCCTTGATCTCAAGGAGCATTCCTTCCAATGGGAGATTGTGTTGGGGGAAGACATAACATGTAAATAGCTAAGTACATAGAAGAGATGTACAGAGTAGATGAGAATAATCTGCAAGGGGAAGCAGCAAAGGGAAGGCCTATTGGAAAAAGTGAGGTTTGAGCTATGTCTTGAAGTAAACCAGGGAAATAAGAGGCAAAGGGAATAACCAATGCATAGACATGGATTAAAAAAGCACTATACTAATGAAAACTAGAGTATAGAAGATGAGATACAAATAACTATAAGATATATCATAAAAGTAAAATAAAAACAAAAAATTCAGACTAATGAGAAATCATAATGTCAAATATTATGTATATTTAGCTTTGGAATATATTTATATGGTGTTTTTACAACTGGTTTACTTTTCCAGTTATGTTTTATATTATCAGCAAACATTTATGCTGCACATCCTATTTGCCAGGCATTGTTCTTAGTAATAGGAATTCAAATGTAATAAATTACATAATTGCTATAAGCAAAGAATTTTCGTTCTAATGAGACAAGGCCATATGAAAATATAGACAGAATAAATTATGCAAAATAGTTAAATACAAGGTAGTTGAGGTAGAGGGGATGCTAGCAGTTGAAAGGATCAGTCAGGGCTTCATAGAGAAGGTAGTGCTTGAGTTGTATCCTAAAAGAAGAGGGAAATTCTTTGAGGTAGAAATAAGGAGGTAATGCATTCCAGGCATGGGGGACAGCCAGTACAAAGGCATGAAGCGGGGAGATGTATTGTTGTGTGTGAGTAATAGAGCCAGTTTGGCTGGATTGCAGAGTATGGAATTTGTGGTAATGTCCGGTGTGGTAATGTCCAGTAATGGCAAGTTAGGTTGGGGACAGACTGTGAAGGACTTTAATAGTGAAACTAAAGAGTTTATATTTTATCGAGAAGCAATAAAGAGTTATTGGAGTTTATTGAGTAGGTAGCATTGCTCAAGGAAATTCACTATGTCACAGTAGAAGGATGAGTTAGAGAGACAAGAGACCTGGTTTAGGAAGACCATTTAAGAGGTTTTTGTAATAATCTAGGCAAGCTGTAATAAGGACCTGAACTAAAATTATAGTTATGTGAATAAAGAGATAGGCTCAGATGCAATAAATGTAGAGATAGAGATGGCAAGATTTGGCAACTAATTAGATACCCTAAAGGGTGAGAGAGTTAAAATTAAAAGTGGGGGAAAATAACACTCCATCTCTTGGCTCTGACCGTTTTCTTTGGCTGTCCCCCATGCCTCTAAAGCTTTCCCTCCTCATCATCCTGGTTGCCTTTAAGTTCCAACTAAAATCCCATCTATTATAGGAAATCTTTCCCAATCCCTCTTTATTCTAGTGCCTTCCCTTTCTTATTTACTTCCTGTTTATTCTGTATGTAGCTTGTTGTACTTATTTGTTTGCTGTTGTCTCCCCTATCAAATTGCCCCCTTGAGGCAGGAACTATCTTTTTCCTCTTTTTGTATCCCCAGCATTTAGCACAGTGCCTAGCACATAATCGGGGCTCAGTAAATGTTTACTAACTGTCCAAACCTAGGAGAATAGAATAGTGATGGCACCTTCAATAGAATTAGGGAAGATTGGAAGACAGGAAGATTTGGGGTGGAGGAGCAAAGATAATAAATTCTATTTTGGACATATTTAGTTTGAAATGTCTCTGGGACATCCAGTTTGAAATACATAGTAGACAAGTTGGTGATGTAGGACTGAAGTTCAAGGGGGAGACTAAGGAGTGTTCTGGGAGTGTTCTGCATAGACATAATAATGAAATCTATGAAGAGTGATGGGGTTACAGTAAGAAAGAAGAGGACCTACGACAGAGCCCTGGAGAGATGGGGTGGGGATGGAAGAGGAGCATTGGCAACTAAAGCACATGGTAGGGATGATTATCCAGCAAAGAAGATAGAAAAGAATAGATGAGAACCAGAAGAGGTCACAAAAACCTAAAGAGAAGAAAATATTTAGGAAGATAGGGCAGTGAGGAGTGACAAATGGAGCAAACAGATCAAGAAAGAAAAGGACTGAGAAAACACCATCAGATCTGACAGTTAATGCATCTTTGGCAACTTTGTGGATAATAGTTTTACTTGTGATGAAGAGTGAAGAGGTCAAGAGCATATTGGAAAGGTTTGAGGAGTGAGGGAGAGGAGAGGATGTGGAGGCAATATGTATAGCTTTTACTAGAAATTTTTTCCGGGAAAGAGATGAGAGATATAGGATGATAGCTTGAGGTGATAGGAAGAAAGAGAGAATGAGTGTGTGTGCACACTAGTGTAAGTGTGCCTTCCTGAGCATTGGAAAGAAGACAACCTAGGGTGAAAAAGATTGTTATGATATATAGAGATGATTGTATCACATTATTTTCCAATGTAGTATAATTATCCTTTTTCTGAAGTGAAAATGTTGATGTATTCCTGGAAAATTGTGTATAGAGCAATTTTTTAACATATTGAATCATTATACTTTTGGTTACAAATTTTTTATAATTAATACACCTTAAAGATATGTCTTCATTTTAAAATAGTTTTTATCATTCTCTATTTTCCCTACCCCAGCCTCTCTGTCCCTACCATTTGTCAGTTTTTCCCAGTCACTTTGTATTTATTTTTTAACATGTTGTATTTTTTTTGTCTTTAAATATATTATTAGAATATCAGTTCTTATTAGAATGTCAGCACCTTGGGCCAGGTACTATATTCCTTTTGTATTTGTATCTTTAAGGCTTAGTATGGTGGCTGGCACATAGTATGAGCTTAATAAGTATTTATTGAATTAAAAATGCATTTATTAGATGCTTACTATGTACCAAGCACTATGCTAAACCCTGGAGATATAAATACAAAAGTGAGATAGCCCCTGTCATCAAAGAACTTACATTCTAAGGGTCAGGGAAAGAGACTATTCATATAGGGGAATAGTGGCCAGGAAAGGGTGTTTCACGGTTCAGTCTCTGGAGCAAGTTTCTCTATTAAAGGTCTCATATCCACAATATATAAGGAACCCAGTAGATAAATGATCAAAGAATATGAACGTACAGTTTTCAAGAGAAGAAATAAAAGCTGTCAACAACCACATGAAAATAATACTTCAATCAGAAATAATTAGAAAAATGCAGAATAAAACAACTCTGAGTTTTTATCTCACATCCGTTAGATTGGCAAAGATGACAAGAGGAAAATGACAAATGCTGGAAGAACTGCAGGAAAATAGGCATATTGATAAACTGTCAATGGAGCTATGAATTGGTTCAGCCATTCTGGAAAGCAGTATTGGCACTTGTGCACAAAGCAATTAGCTTTTTAATTTTTAAATTGCCCATCTTTCACCCAGCAATATGATTACTAGGCCTGTACTCCAATGACGTCAAAGGAAAAGAATCCATATATACAAAAATATTTAAACAACCTTTTTCTTAGTAGACCCAAGCTGGAAATTAAGGGGATAGCTACCTATCGAGCAGTGACTAGACAAATTATGGTGTGTGGTATATGAATTTGTAACGAAATACTACTTATCATAAGAAATAATGAAATGGACATTTTCAGAGGAAACTGGGAAGACTTCTATGAACTAAGGCAGAGTGAAGTGAGTAGAACTAGGTGAAAAATGTATGCGACAACAACATTATAAAGAAAAAATTTTCAAAGTCTTTAGAGCTGTGATTAATGATAAACCAGGATGGCAGAGGAATGGTAAAGCACACTTGTAAATGAAGGACTGAAAATGAAGAATGAGACATATGTTTTTTGCAAATGGCCAGTGTGGGAATTTGTTTTACTGGACTTATTTGTGCTTATTGTTATGACTTAAAATTTTTTTTAACTTTTATTTGGGAGGTGTGGGAAGAGCAGATAATGAATGAAAATAAATTAATGAAAATTAAAAGAAGAGTGTTTCAGTCTGGGAAGTCTGGTGAATAGAGCCATCAGACAATTAATGAACCCTTTCACGAAGAAATAGTGGTATTGTTGAGGTGAAAATATGTAAATGTATGTGTATATGTATGTAAATAGATATATGTATACTCACATGTACATAAATAGATATCCATAATCATATATTTGCATACACACATCTATGTAAGACTGTCCTCTATTTCTCTAAAGGTAGATAACATCTTCCTTCATGAATCTAAGTCTTTCCATATTTTTCTGAATCTACCAACTCATCATTTCCTACACCACAGCAATATTCCAACCTTAAAGTATCTAGTTGTTTTAAATAATCTAAAACAATATTGATTAATATAGCTGACATATAGTGGTTTCCTTGCTTTTCTCTTTTGATTAAATCTATTTTAGCTTTAACTTTGTCTGAGATCATGATTACTATCCCTTTTTTTTACCTAATAAATTCTACTCCTAATGTTTATGTTTGTGTGTATTTTCTATTGATTTCAGGTCTTTTTGCAACAAAATCCCGAAAGTCTGGCAATCCATTTAATGTCCATTGTTTTTGTTCAGGATTATGCTTAACTTTACTGGGTATGATATTTTTGACTGCTACACCAGTTCTTTTGCTCTTTGATATATAGTGTTCCAACACTTGCAGTCTTTTAGTATGGCCACTGCTAGGCTATTCTAATTGTGGCTGTGCCATATTTGAATTGTTTTTTTCTTGTTCATAATATTTTTTCCTTGAGCAGGAGGTTTCAGAATCTAACTATGATGTTCCTATTGGTATTCCTCATAGGATCTCTTTCAGGTGGCAATCAGTAGATTTTTTTCTATTTCTGCTTTCCCCTCTCATTCTAACACTGCAGGAAAATTTTCTTTAATTATTTCTTTGTATTATTATATCAAGATTCTGTTTTTGATCATAGCTTTCAGGTAGTCCAGTTATTCTTGTGTTTTCTCGTCTTGATCTGTTCTCCAGATCAGTTGTTTTTCTTATGAGATGTCTCATTTTCTCTTCTATTTTTTTCATTCTTTATATTTTGTTTTGTTATTTCTTGGTCTCTTACAACTTTGCTGGCTTCCCCTTGCCCAATTCTGGATCTCCTTTTCTAGTTGGTTGACTTTCTTTTCATAATCTTCTTATTTTTCTTGGATTGTTTTTATTTTTTTTCAAATTTTTCCTCAATCTCTCTCATTTGATTTTTAAAGTCTTTTTAAAATTCTTCTATGAATTCTTTTTGTGCCGGTGACCATTTGATGTTTGTTACTCTTTAGGGTAGGAGAGGCTTTTTTTGCTTGAATTTCCTCTGAAGATGAATCTCCCAGTCTTCTCTTTCCATAGTAACTTTCTATGTTTGGGTTCTTTCTCCTTTGCCTGCTCATTTTTTTTTATTCACAGCAGCTATTTTACTGAATTACATATACAGTTATTGATAACCCCTTTTAAAAAATAAACAAAATCATTACTATATTACTTATTTTACATGTACAGTGCTAAGATAGTGACAATTCATTGCATGTCTTGTATTATTCAGTGATTTCATTCTTTTTTTTGTTTTGTTTTGTTTTTTCGTTTTTTGTTTTAGGCAAATGGGGTTAAGTGACTTGCCCAGGGTCACACAGCTAGTAAGTGTCAAGTGTTTGGTCTGAGGCTGGATTTGAACTCAGGTCCTCCTGACTTCAGGGCCGGTGCTCTATCTACTGCACCACCTAGCTGCCCCTGATTTCATTCAAGAAACAATAACAAGCCAACTTTTCAGGTGTATGACCAATTTTAACAAATTTCCTGTCTTTTCTCCCATCAACTTAAAGTATGTATTTTGTACAACAGAAAGCAAAGTAGAGAACTTTGTTGTTTTATGGACTTGTCCGCCATTTTAACTTTTCTCCTTATGAAACCTTGGGTTTCTTCCCAGAGTTCCATGGAACATTGAAACACTGTCTTCAGATGTTCATTTTAAAGAAAATTTGGTTTACACATGATTTTGCTGAAGTGAAATTTACCTGTAGCCATTTTTCTTAAAATAATGGCACAACTAGTTTATTTATTTTTACTCAATAACAGACATTTAAAAATACTTCAGACTGTTTAAAACTTCAGACTCTAATAGGTTAACTGTTTTTGTTCTTATATGTAGAATTCAAACATAATTAAAAATGAAAGTATAATATTTAAACTACCAAGAAAAACAGAAACAATGGTATAGTGGAAAGGGTAATATGTTTAGAGTCATAGAACTTGGATTTGAATTTTGCCTTTGCTATTTGCTACTTGTCTTACCTTAGTTAAAAACCCTTACTTCCCTGACTTGAAGTTTATTTATTAGTAAAATGAATGGGTAGATTAGATAAGCTCTAAAGTACCTTCCAATTTCTAAAATTCTTTGATGCTAAGATGCAGTCAGAATGGTTGAGTTGGAATTGAATTGCAACCATCCTTGGTATTTTGAAAGAAAGATTGTTTCTAGCTAGTAGTTATAGTCATTTTGTCTTCTAATCTTGCCTCCACAACCAAAACCTTACTTGACCTTTGGGAAATTTTGATTCTTTGTGTATCAATTTGCTTTTATGAAAAGTAAAGAGTATTTTTCAGAGAATATAGTTAATAATTAGGAAGTGTTATGGGAAAAAAATTGGAAATGGCTTATGTGTTTGTTTAATATGCCAAAATACAGGGCATTGTATGTATTTATCATTACTTGTTAGTTTTATTTGATAATGATCATTAATTTGATGATTTGCGTGTATTTTGTTTAGTAACTAAGTTGCTTAAAACATATCAACCTTGATACCAGGCCTATGAATTTGTTTTTCCTTAGTGAGCTGACAAAAGGAACTTGCCTTCGGTTTGCTGGAAGTGGAAATGAAGAGAATCGAAACAATGCATATCCCCACAAGGCAGGTTTTGCCCAGCCTTCAGGTCTTTCTGTGGCTTCTGAAGAACCTTGGTACTGCTTATTTGTAGCAGACAGTGAGAGCAGTACTGTCAGAACTGTCTCACTGAAAGATGGAGCAGTGAAACATCTTGTAGGAGGAGAGAGAGATCCCATGGTAAGGAAAATTACATTTTTCATGTGTAATTTTATTAGAACCATTGTGAGCATAGGTCAGCATTTATTGAGTTTTCAAGTTACCAAACCATGGGTACTTAGGAAAGAGAAAGCATGATTCTTACCCTCAATTTAATGTAGAAGTTAGGACAGAAAGATACAAATACATTACAAAAACACATCAAATACAACCAAATACTGCAGATAGCCATCTACAGAGGTGGAAGAGAATGAGGAGAACAAAAAGTCATCAAGCAACTGCTATATGCCAGGCTCTGTGCTAAGCTCTTTATGCATGTTATCTTATTTGATCCTTAGGACAACCCTCTGAGAAGGGACCTTAAAGGCCATTGATCCAGCCTCCTTGTTTTACAAATGAAGAAGCTGAGACCCAGAAAGGTTAGACAGAAGCCATTTTGTCATGTAGCAAAAAGCAGACTGACTACTGGATCATTTTATATGCCCACAACCAAATTAGAAAGCATTAAAAGGTAATAGAGGTTAGAAGTTTTGTCAGCACTACTGGTCTTCCAATTTAGGTCCTATTTAGATGAAAACCAGAACTTTTCCTTGCCTCAACTTAGATAAATGAAGCTGTTTTCTAAATTTGTCTTACATATCTAACCAAAATACTGTAGTAATTTAATAATGAATGCCTTTTCTTTTTCTGAAAAAGAATTTATTTGCTTTTGGGGATGTTGATGGATCAGGAATTGATGCAAAACTTCAGCACCCACTTGGAGTGGCTTGGGATAAGAAAAGAAACTTACTTTATGTGGCAGACTCCTACAATCACAAAGTAAGCATAATTACACGATAACCCTGTTTTTCATACGTAGCAATTAAAATGTTTAAAAATCTGTGAAAGCCTCCTACAAATGTCATTTTAAAATATATAGTGCCATTAGCCATTCTTGACAACCATATTCATGTTATTCCATTCTCTCTTTTGTTGATTTTGTTTTTAGGAATGGATGCTATGTCAGGGCCTTGAAATGAGAAAACATAGGTAGATTCACAGTGTCCATAATCAAGCATCATTAACTGCAGCTATTCAAAGCTGCTTAGCAACATATTCAGTAAATGGGAGAGGTTGCATGTATAAATGTAAGGATGGAAGAGAATGAGTTGTAGAGGAGAAGGAAGTGAAATATGTCAGGGAAATTCATCTTGAAGAGAGATAGGAACATAAGATGAAAAAACTGCTAAGAAGCTAAACAAATATGAATGTTTATGTTGAGAAACGTTTTCCAATATAATAATGTAATTTTTTTCTCTCATCCTATTACTACACAAAGCACATAATCATAACTTATGTGGTTTGTGATATCACATAGAGCCCTAATATTAAATTCTAACACTAAATTCACAGTTTTTTGTGGTTTACTCTGGGGCATTATACTCAGAATTAATGGATTTGCACTACTACAAAGTTAACAAAATTGGCAGCAATTTATTCTTTAGGAGAAGATAAAATTTATTCCAGGCCCCAGATTTAATTGAAAGATTAAAATTTGATGGATCATGATAGTTCTGGGGCTAAATTATTCTCAAGATGCATTTTACCCTTATATTAAAAGTTGCAAAAAAGCAGACTCATAATTGTATGTGATGGAAATTAATTTGGAAATGATTTTTGTTTCTTCTGCATATATGTAGTATGGTGGAACACTGATAATTCAGAGTTCCAAAAGCTTGTTAGTTTTCATCTAACATCTCCCTATAGTCATTCTGAGAATGAGGCTAAATAAAGATGGGGTAGATGAAATCTTGATAATACTTCAGAGTTTCTGGACTTGAATTGCCAAGTTTCATGCATTACTTCTAAATTCTTATGATAAATTTCAAAATCTTAATGCACTTTACCAAGCTAGTACAATTGTGTTGTTGTCTTTTGTTAGAATAGGACTTGAAGGTTTGTTTTGTTTTGGTTTTCTTTGAGAAAAGAAGCTAATATAGATCTGTCTCATTTTTCTCGTACTACACAAAAAATAATTCTAAAATACTAAATGCTTTCTGAATATTCTCAAAATGGCTTCAGGATAACTTACCCAAATTATCCCCAAATAACCTATTACAACAGTATTAATCATGAGAGGAAACGATTTATTGTAACAATTACAGATGACTTTTTCATATTTAGACTATTCTGTTACCCACCAAAAAGTTTAGTTCATTGACTCTGAGGCTCTCAGAACATATTTCTGATTTTGTAGTTTGACATTAGTGTTTGTGTTTTGTTTTGTTTCTATTTCAAATATTTGTAGAGAAGAATTAGAGCAGAAATGAAGATCAGGGACAGTGCTAACAAAAGCACATCTGGATGATTATTAGTGGAAAAATTAGCAAAAATACTCATATCATTTTACTTTAATATATAAGCCTTTAGTAAATATAATAACCATACTTTGTATATACTTTCCTGACTTTTCACTTTGTCAATTAAATTGCATAAACCATCAGATAAACCTTGTGTAGCTATGGAAAATAGACATTTTAAGAGTTGTTTATAGCTTTTTGATAGCTTGTCTTTAAATAAAAGTACCTTCCTTATTATTTTGCCTTCTTTTGAAATTTTCTTCTCATTCTCTTATCTTGAAAATCAATCCCTGAGTGCTTTAAAATCCAATAATTATTGTTGCTATCAGTTGGTTTTTTTTTTAAAAAGCAGTTGACTTGTTAGAATAAAGTATAACCTTACAGGTTTTCCTTAAACAACATGTTATGTTAAATGCAATGCAAATATTAAAATTATACAAGATTCTATGGCAAATACATCTACAGAAATAACTTTTCTCAACAATCCACTGAATATCATGATGAGTTAAGGGCCAATAGGGAGGAGATGGTTTCAAATAATGATAGTTACTAACTGTAACATGAGGGAGTGGAGTGGAGTGGTCTAGATGGCCTTGAAGTCCCTCAGAGTTCTTGTAGATCTATGATCCTGTGATCCCTTTTAGTTTTCAACTTCTGTCAATTTGATTCTAAACTACTTTAGGCCAAGAAACATATCTTTCTATTGTTTCATAACTCCTTAGCACTTGCCATAGGCATTCGATATATATTTGTCAAATAAATGAAATGATACCTATTTTTTTAAAAATTCAGAATAAATACAGAGCTATGCATAAAATATTTTTATTTACAAATACATGCTCTAAGAGAACTTAGATTATGGTCTTTGGAAGAAAATGGCAGATGATAGCAGAGTAGGGGAAATAGTGTAATTCAGCTCTATCCCACCATTAAACAACCAGAATACCAAACAATTCAGCTCTTAAACAACTGGTAAATATGATCCATTAGAAATTAAAGTGAAAGGCTTCAGAACTCAGCCAGCCATAAGAGGGCTGAGGGACTGAAGTGAAACCGACAGACCTCATTAAGATTTAAAAAAAAAAAAGCTTTAGCATGAAGAAAAAAAAAAATTCCTCCACCCAGGCTGATGTTTGCTTTTAGGGAGGGAAAAAAGATTGTGGAAGAAAAGTATCTTTGCCATAGTAAAATAAATAAAAAGGCCCTCCACTTCAGAAAAAAGGTCTCAACTAGGCCTTTCTCACCGGGGCAAGACAACCTTGCATTTGACTAAGGATTAAAGAAAAGGCCTCCTCTTCCTTTTTTGCATGATGCAAAGGAAAGGGCTTCAACTAGAGCTGATCACAGTAGAGGAAAGCTTTATTGTCCATGGTGAAGAAAAAGGCATAAAGAAAGACCACCAGGGCAAAGGAAAGTTCTTCATTTTGATTTGATACCTAAAGTAAAGGAGACCTAAAACTCGACTCCTGAGACCTCAGCAACAAAAGTTAAATGTTTGGGATTTGGTTTGGTTTGGTTTTTAAAGGACTTTTATGATGCCAGGGCTGACCACGACACAGACAGAAGAGGAAACAACTTAAAACGCCTGTAGTCACAACCTCAAAGAAAAAAACAGCTTACCCACAAGAACAATTATAATTCTTCAAAGAAATGATATTATTCGTTATTCATTTAGTTGTGTCCCTTCATGACCCCATGGACCATAGCACTCCATGTGCTTCTGTCCTCCACTATCTCCCAAAGTCTGGCCAAGCTCATGTTCTTTGCTTCCATGACACTGTCCATTTCATCCTCCACCGTCCCTTTCTCTTTTTGCCTTTAGCCTTTCAATGTCAGAGTCTTTTCTAATGAGTCCTGTCTTCTCATTATGTGACCAAAGTATTTAAACTTCAGCTACAGTATTCATCTGTCTAATGAGTAGTCTGAATCAATTTCTTTAATTATTGACCGATTTGATTTCCCTGCTGTCCAAGGGACTGTCAGAAGTCTTCTCCAAGACTGTAATTCGAATGCATCAGTTCTGCGGCACTCAGCTTTCCTTATAGTCCAATTCTCACAGCCATACATGACTACTGGAAAAACCATAGCTGTGACTGTACAGACCTTTGTCAACAAGATGATGTCTCTGCTTTTTAGTATGCTGTCTAGATTTGCTATAGGTTTCTTTTCAAGGAGCATCTTTTAATTTCATAGCTGTAGTCACTGTCTGTAGTGATCTTTGAGCCCAAGAATATAATGTCCAACACTGCTTCCATTTCTTCTCCCTCTATTTGCCACGAAATAGTGGAACCAGTTGCCATGATCTTATTTTTTTTTAATGTTAAACTTCAAGCCAGCTTTTCCCCTTTCACTTTCATCAGGAAGCTTCTTCATTCTTCACTTTCTGCCATCAGAGTGGTATCATCTGCATATCTGAGATTGTTGATTTTTTTTCCCCAGCAAATCCTAATTCTGACTTTTGATTGTCCATTTCACATGATGTACTCTGCATATAAGTTAAATAAATAAGGTGATAATATATGGTCTTGTTGTATTCCTTTCCAATCTTAAACTAATCAGTTGTTCCATGTTTGGTTCTAACTGTTGATTCTTGACCCACACAAGTAAGATGATCTAGTATTCCCATCTCTTTGAGGACTTGCTACATTTCGTTGTCAAAGGCTTTAGTGTAGTCAATGAAGCAGAAGTGGATGTTGCTTTCTCCATAATCCAGCAAGTGTTGGCAATTTAGTCTCAAGTTCCTCTGCTCTTTGAAAACCAGTCTGCACTTCTGGTAATCTTCTGTTCACATATTGCTGAAGCATAGCTTCCAGAATCTCAAGTGTAACCTTGCTGGTATGTGAAATGGGCACAATTGTTCAGTAACATGAACATTCTTTGGCATTACTTTTCTTTAGGTGGTACCTAAACTGACCTTTTCTGATCTATAGGCCATTGCTGAGTTTTCCAAATTTGCTGGCATAATGAGTGTAGCACTTTAACAACATCATCTTTTTAGAATTTTAAATAGCTCAGCTGGAGTTCTATCATTTCCACTAGCTTTATTATTAACAGTGCTTCCTAAGGCTCACTTGATTTCATTCTCCAGGATGTCTGGCTCTAGATCAGTAACCACACCATCATGGTAATCAGTGATGTTAATATCTTTCTTGTGTAGTTTCTGTGTATTCTTGCCACCTTTTCTTAATCTCTTCTACTTTTGTTAAATTTCTACCATTTTTGTCTTTTATCATGCCCATTTTTGCATATGTTTCCTTGATATCTTTAATTTTCCTGAAGAGATCTTGACCTTCCCATTATTTTATTTTCTTCTGTTTCTTTGCGTTGCTCATTTAAAAAAAACTTTCTTATCTTTCATTGTTATTCTCTGTAATTCTGCATTCAGTTGGGAATGTCTTTCCCTTTCTCCTTTACTTTTCGCTTTTCTTCTTTCCTCAGCTATTTTGAAATCCTCATCAGACAGCCATTTTGCTTTCTTGC